AGCCGTTAGCTCAAAAATATACAGCGAATATTCATTTTCTTAAAACTGCGACGCTGATGCTTTACCGTATCCTGGTCGCGGCGATATTCCCGGCTTAGAAAGGTGGATCTTGACGGACCCCCGAAGTGCCACTTAACCGGGGAAGGTCGTACTCCCATTTAGCTTCTGTTTAGTGGAAGGAATGAAACGGAAATTAGATACCACCTAGTTTTCGTTTTCTTTTTAACCAGTGCCGTTCCTCGACTACTTTGCTTGCTCGAGTCGATTAATAATTTCCTGGCTCGTGTTTGGCAATTCGCACAGGGCCGGATGGTGCCCTGTTTCAGGACAGTGGGAATTTGTCATAAAATCTCGTGCAGAGACACGAAAATGAAAATCGGTATCATCCGCCGGATGCGAAATTTTAGCAGTTCAGAATCACGAACACCTTACACGGTTTTCTTTTTCCACTTGAAACTGCAATCTTGCGAGTCAAAATTCGTTGTGGAGTTAGCTAACAAAGTCTGACAAGGGATGGATACTTGGTCGAAGTGGCCTTTCATTATAAAACGTATACGGTCTTTAGAGCTTAGGACGCTGGTTCCGAATCTGCTTTCCATATCTGCAAAGCGCTTCTGGGAGGGAAGTTATGGGGATTTCTTGGAGCAAAAATTTGAACGCGCAGCTACGATAAAATCATACAAAGTGCAGTCTATGAGCTCGAATGAGGCTATGATCACTACCAGGGCGTTTTATACAATACTACCTTCAATCTGATGAGCTCTTGTCAGTCATTACTCTTTTCAAGCACCGGAATGATCTCAACACCTGTTTTTATCTTAGCCAAACCATTAAATTTTTATCAGTAAAAATTCCCAGAATTGCCCTCCCAGAAGCAGGTAAGGAAAGCTGATTTAGAATCAGCGTTCCATGCTCTATAAGACGGTATACATTTCATATGGAAACCCCACTTCGACCAAGTATCCTTTCCTTGTGAGATATCTACTACACACTATTCTCAAATGGCTTAGAGTGCTTCCAAAATCGGTACGCTCCAAACCAATTGTTGGTCAAGTTTTTCAATAAAAACGCGTTCTCGTTGCGTTTTTCAACCAAGTTTTAACCTTATCCTATAGTTAGCACAGTTCCCAGCTTTTGTAGTCCAAAAATTAGCTAAACACAAATCGTACAAGCTGTACAAGTTTTTAAAAATGTGTGAATTGTAAAACAAAAAAGCTAAGCAATGCTGAGCGCAATGCTGTACTTCGATACATAGAGCCATGTACTCTGGTAACCTCCACTTTGAGCGTAATGATAGAACACAACCTTCACCTGGGCCCGTAGTAATCTACCCTACTTGCCGGCAGGTCTTGCCCTCAACTCGCCGCGATCTCGCCCTCAGGTCATGAAAACTGCCAACGCCCTCTAGAGGTTCTCCAAAGCAATCATTCTGGAACTCTCCAGGTCTGACGGTCCAGCTTAGAGGTGGGCACCAGATGGAGATCGAAAAAAATCCTAAAAATCCCGACAACTTCAAATTTTGGGCCCAAAAGATAGACCTGCCGGCAACTTCGCGAGGTATTTTGTCGAGATTTCTGCCGCGATCTCGCCCTCAACCTGCCGGCATCTCGCCCTCATGTCAGAAAAGAAAGGGAAATAGTGTGTTTATTGAGGAGTGCAACCTGCCGGCATCTCGTCGTGCCCCTACCACGTCGAGATGCCGGCAGGTTCATGACATTCATCTCGTCGTTTGCCGGATTTTTGAGTATTTTTTTATTTTTTATGTTTTTCTTTTGTTTTCAAGACGTGCTTAAAACCCGAAACATTCACAGAATTTAAAAAATCGTTGGCATGATGAGTTTTTCCATTTTGCTAATTGAAAAAAGCGATCATTAGCTTTGCTAGGATTGTTTTGCGTCTTTCATTAGCATTGTTTAATTTGACATACTGATTTTCAATATGTATGCTTTTAGGAGCAGCTAGACGGCTATAGTATACGCATAGTATATAAATCTATAGTTCGCTTCCTCAGTTTCTTAAAAACTTTGGACCTGAGCGACATGATGGGTTTACAGAAGCCAAACTATCCCAAAAGCTCAAGTGTGAATTGGGTTTTACTCCTCCTATAAGCTGGTCAATTTCCTTATCTCAGGAACTTTTTACAAAATAGTGTCGATTTGTGCTTGGCGAACAAATTCCGATGCTATCATCGATTCATGCCACGTAAAGACTGGGCGTCATTGCATCCGGCGAAGATAGCTTGTGCATAGGAGAAACAGCAGTGGACGGCAAGAGGAACGAAAGAGCACTCAATCAAGGAGACGCCGATATGTCCGCAGTCTTTGCGTGCTATGAATCGCCTATAGACAATGACGGAACGCGACGACGGCGTTGGTCGCGTGTCGCGTCAAAGTCCACACCGCATATTTTCTTAACTTTTGTTCTACTCGAATCTTTTTGTTGCATGCAAATTAACGAACAATGGTGGTTTTGTTCTGGTGTGCAACTTTTCTCTAAGATGTCCACACTACTAATCTTTTGCAGGATATGACCAGTTTTACGTTCTGAGTTGCATCCAACGTGGTGACTTCCCAGGAACTCTAATCATATTTTTGGACCGGTATATTGAACGAGGTAAGATAACATTAGTTCGCTTTTTTGAAATCAGATTGATATCCTACTTTTGATGAAGTGTTTTGAGATAAATGTAGACACGCAGAGCACTATAGTCTGCATTTACTTCAATCCATCATAAAGCTATGAAAAACACGAGGAGCTGGAAACCATGTTTTCCGGTAAAGTTAATTGCTCCCACACATCTCCTTGTCAGTAAGCCAAATAAGCTTCGTTTAGGTATCAGCTGGGAAAGGAATGATCGTCAACTCCAAGTGTATCATTTGCTTCGGCCGAGAAGTGTTCGGATGTCTTCAAAATTACGACTTCAACTTTTCGTCAGGTAAAGATGTTCCGATTCACTTTCCCGCAGTTGTTTCTTTGCTTTCTATTAAGTCGTCTCGTTGTGATGTTTCACAAGTGAAGAGGCTGGCTCTTTTTTTCTTTAGTTTCTTTTCTTTCTCTTCTCCTTCTTGGCCAGCTGCACCTTCTTGTGCTATTCTATCGGTTGTGAAACTGCTTCAGTGATATATATATATAAAGGATATTCGTTGACGACAGCCCCGTTTCGTGCAATTACACCACCACGGGCGTGCCTTTTTGAAGCCTTTCCAGCTTTACAGTAGGCTGCAGCTGCGCGGGGTATTCGCATCTCACAGCATGCCCGTCCTTTAAACTCTTTTTGCTGTTTGAGTATTTCACATCGTTTTTCTCCTTAATTTTCATTTTAGGCAATTACACATTCTCATACACGCAAAATCATTGTTCCGGAAAGAATCGGAAGGAATATTGAGGTTTCTTCAAAGCTGCAATGGCGGATATCGTGGCTATGATTTGGGGTGCAATGTTTCTTCAGTGTTTCATAATAATTTGCTTTTTTTTATTAAGAGAGACTGCTGAAGTGGCTGTTTCAGCACTTCTACATCAAGGAGACATGTAGGCGTGCTAAAATAAACATTTCAGTGGTCTCATTTGAGGAGAAGGCATGATAGCCATCACTGCTCATGAAGAAAGCAAATTCTTTCCCCTAACTATGCCGGGACGATAGTTTACATTTCTAAAAATGTTTGTATGATATGTAAAAAGGAGGACGAATTCAATAACTGTACCAAAACTTTTTCTCCTGCTCTTTCAGTATCCATCAAAGCAGAATTTTTAGAATGCTCGACCGAGACAACTTCAAAGAAAAGGAGAACGAGTAACTGATGAGCAAGTGCCTGAACTGAAGATTAAAAAGGAAAAAAAGATGAGAAATACGGAAGAGGTTAAAGGACAGGGGTGCTGCGAGCTGCGAATTCCCTGCGCGCTGTAGCATACTGTAAAGCTGGAAAGGCTTCAAAAAAGCACGCCCGCGGTGGTGTAAATGCACGAAACGGGGCTGTCGTCAACGAATATCCTTTATCGTCGATTCTTTGATCGCACGTACTGGACATCAGTTCGGAGCACGCGCTGCGAGGTAAAACGCAGCCCCTGTACAAGTTGCCACCGTACAAGTCATGTTTTCACAATATTTCAGAAGCCGCGCGTGGTCCGCAGCATTGGAGCAGTCCGTGCGGTCAACGAAACACGATATGTATCACTGGGTATTGGAGGACCGGCCTGGAGTGCACGCCTCGCGGCTGAAACGTCACGAGAGCACACTTGTACATTAGCGATTTGTATCACCGATGGAAGCGCTCAGCGGTGCATCGCAGGCTCCGCAATCTACGGCCAATCCTGCGGTCGAACTCGACGATAAGTTTTCTGTTTTTTGTGAGTAGACTTTGATTTTATTTTCTTTCCCTTTTAGATTTATTTCTCGTGCTTTAACTACTTGAGTCTCGTCTGTATACGTTGCGGGGTCTGTCGCACATACTGATGAGTCTCTTTGGCGTTCTCTTCGGTTTTACTGTTGCTTGAAGTATACAGTCTAATAGATTTCCTGCTTGATATAGTGTCCCCGCAGTTTCCCGTCTGCAGGAACACCATATTGAGAGGAAACCTACTCGACTGTAGCTTCTGAGAAGACGCTACTTTAGAAAGCAAGTGTATGAGGATTTCGTAGCCTAGATGAAAGTACCGTTGAGAAAATGGCCAGACTCGATTATAGATGTTGTTTTATTCTGCAAGATTTGGATAATGCTGACTAACTTACATGCTTATATTGGTCGCCATCGCACTTGGCACATTTCCTTGCGATACTAAACTTCACTCTTTCCATCCTGTCTAAAACTTCCCTCTTTTTCACAATTGGCATTTTTCTCTGCTTGCGATCATGTGTGCTTGTGGTCGTCTGGCTTTGTTCGCCAATATGCATGTAATTCACATAGTCGAGCGGTCCCTGTTGATGTGTGCAATCACACTATTTCAAGGGTGGGGTTGGGTACGAAAATTTTTGTTGTTGCAATACAACCATGGTTGACAATTGAATGCATATCAGCACTGCTTTTACCAAAATCTGCATTCTAGCCAAAATTTCAAAAAATGTGGAGTTGCAAGCATTTGCAACGGACCAACTCAAGCGTAAAGACTTATACAGGTACTGTTTTAGGTAATGTGCACGTGGCTGCCAACATCTGACTTGGTACAAATTACAAAAGCGGCTGCCTTGGCAATTTCCTAGAAAGAATTTGGTTAAGCAAAATAAGGAGACTCTGTAAAGGACACAACTTGAGGTCACGAAAGAGTTTGTATAGTCTTGTTTATTATCTTCTAGTGAAATGGATTACTTTCAGGTCATGCAGCGCCATCACTAATGTAGACCAGTGACAAACATCAGCCTCCCAAGATTTTCCACATCGCCACTTTCACAACATCAAATGCTGTAGATTCCCCTCCCCCCCCCCTCTGTTTGACAAGAGCACCGTATATTTGTCTCGTCTTCGCACTAAAGACGCTTCTCAGTTGAAATATTGTATCAATATATGAGGTATTCTACTCTTATAAGTGTGCAATTTTTTGCAGATTATTGGTCGAAAAAGCATTGATTGATTGTTGATAGTTAGTCCACAGGATCTTTGCTCTTCCCGTAAACTCAAACGTCCTCTGCAAGATAACTTGTTCTGTAGTTAACTACATCTTCGAGAGTAGAGCAACTTCAGCGGTTTTCAGGTTGTTCTGAGTTAGGAGGTAGAAAAATTCTGAATACTTGGGCTGTATTTTAGGAATAGATCTGAGCGTAAATCCATCTCAGCTTACGTGATATATTCACAGCCTTGAAAATTATGTCTATCTCTACCATTTTCTCTTAAACATTGTGTATGTGGTTCTAGTTGAGACTTCAGCCTTGACCACAAGTGAGTTAGGGGAATTGGCACTAAACCCAAATGATGCAATTAGAATCAGGGTTGTCAAATACCAAGTCCGCTCAAATACTGCCTATGGGGGGTCATTACTTCAAATTTGTCAATGGTTTCCGCATTTTTTGTAGTTTGCAGGTTTCCGCATTTTTTTTGTAGTTTGCAAATGTCTCCTACTAAATCAGGGTCATTATACGTCACAGGGGGCTTGTCCTTCGATGAGGCCTCTATAGCTGCAGTATCAACAGCATATTTGGTTTGCGCCCGATTATCTCGCAATTCCTTAGCGCCTTTTGCCGTTTCCAAATTGCTGACAAAAGTATGAGTATCATGAACAGGGCTCGGCACAAGCTGGCACCAGGGAAATTTCAAAACGAAGTCCCGTTTGATAATGAAAATTTCGTACGAAGTCCCTTTTGACCTGTTTTGAAAACCCGTCATCATTTTTATATTATGTAAAAAATGTAGTAGTGTTCATTTCTGATTCATGAAACTTTTCACAACTTTTTGAGCTTTTTAAGTGGTCGAATCACATATTGAGAAGCAGAAAAAGCCGATTTTTCGACTGCGGAGCGGGCCAAGTGGTTTTCACATTGCTATAAAACGCTGAAAAGAGAACATTATGAAAATGTTTGTTATCCGTATGTAATCTTTTACAGTGTAGATACATTTTATGTAAAAAAGTATGAAAACTTATGTGAGCAAAGTGTCGGTGCCAGCTAATTCAGAAAAAAGTTGGGCACAGCTTTCATTCACATAAGTTTTCATAAATTTTTGGCCTGTAGTTCCGGTCCACCAACGCGCATGCACACACCAAATTTGGTGTCATACTATTGCGTTTTGGCTGAAAACAACGCCTTTGTTTGTTGATGGACAGCTTGCCAATGGCATGCCGGTGGCATGCCGGCGGCATTTTTGCGGCAGTTTTCCGCCTCGGCCCCTGTGGAAATGATATCCCCTTTGCTTTCCGCCCTAAAAACGATATCCAGCTTGACCCGGTGCCAGCTGTGCTGAGCCCTGATCATGAATCTTGCGAACTTGCCACTTCGAAAACATTGTTCCATTTTTTACCTTTGACTAAAAGAAATTTGTGAGACGGAAACAAGGAAGGAAGCATCAGGAAAATGGTTGATGCAGATACAATGGTCAATTAAACGAAAAGCTTGTATATTGGAATTAAAATTCGATACATGGATTGAAAAAAAATTGGTAATCCAAGCCTTGAAAGAAAAGTGGCATGTCCTTTGAATGTCCCTGTTGTGCCTTGTGGCAACTACATGGGATCAAACTGTTTACAGTCTTAATCAAGTGTAAACAATCAGTGCTTCGTAAGATTAGCTCTCGTTCGCACAGTACGAAAGTACTCAAATGAACACGTTAATACAAGGTATTGGTGTGCTTGATTAGGCTCACTAGGATTAGAATGATTGTGAACGTGTAGTTCAGCAAGTTAACGTGCTGTCTCTCGTTGGCAAGATGGGAGTTCCATCCCGGCGGAAGCAATGGTTTTGCGGTCAACCTTGCATTGCCTCGTGAGTGTACTCGCGAACCTCAGGCCCAGAACGCGAGCTTGTCGTGAGGTTCGCGAGCTTGCCGTCATGTCTTATGCCAACATGCGGGGTGGATTACTACGGGCCCTGGAGAGAAGTATAGAAGTCATTCGGAGCCAAGCCTCGGATATTATAACATAACTAATGACATAACCATATAAGGATGAATGTGAATGAGGCAAATGTAGTAGTGACATCCAAAAGAAGCTGAAAAAACCGAAGGATTACGTTTTCGTGGCTTTTATTTGCTGAAGAAAAGGTTTTTATTCAAAAATTCGGTCAGAAACTAGGACAAAGTTTCTCAATTAACCTTTCTATAGACTGCGATTGAGCGTTGAAAGTTCATGAAAGCCGCTGGGGTTTGATAAAAACGAGAAGGCGCTTATTTTCTCGCTTCCAAAGCGGCATTTTGCGCCGCGACTTGGGCATTGGATTGATAGAGGGCCCTACTATTATATACTGCCAAAAGCTCAACATCCTCAACTTAGGGTGGACGGTGCCTTTAAAGCTCTTGATCTCTATTTTCACGCTGACAGCGTCGCAAGACTCCTTTTATGAATTCGAGAAATCTGGAAAAAACAGCGTTCTCGAAAACCTCTTGTTTTTTCCTCAGTTTAACTCTTTTCACTCGTTTTTTTGTATATTCGAGGGGTCTTGTTTCTGTCTATAATGTAGACAACGTCGCCGAGCTCACTTCTTTGCTTATGCCGGTTTTTTGTTAAAATTACTAAAAAATGCGTTATTCTTTACCTTGTCTTCTTTCAACTCTTTTGCAACGAATTTTCTACAGCTTAGACGATGCTTGCTCAGAATGATGAGCGGAAAAAACCTAATAACGTCGCAGGATACGAAACGACTATGCGGGGGTGAAAAGCTAAAGGGCGCATCAAAAATCAGATCGGCATTGATGTGCAACATATCTTTTCAGACGTTAACATGATCAATTCAGTTGTTGACAAGTTTTTCTTCTTTCGGGGCGCTATGTATCAATCTCAGGATCGTGTGCTGGTTCAAGATCTGGCAATTACACGATCTTGAACCAGCACACGATCTGCCGCGGCGCCCGCGATGTATCAATGTGTGCGCAAGATTGTGTAATTACACGATGGGCGGTGTCCGTGTGCGCCAGGAACCCGACTGGCGCATAGCGAGTGACCGCGCTGGCGTCAACGCGAAGTGACGCTCTACGCTCATTTCACATAAATTCCAGTGTGTAGCGCCTCGCTTCGTTTCAAATTTCTTCTTTTTTCTTGTGCCGCCATAATCTGCAATTTCCAAAGTTTTTCTATAAACTTTGAATTTTTTGGTTAGAGAATTTCGCACGTTAACACATTGACGACCAAGGCGTTTCGCGGATCAGTCAATATTTTCTAGATAAAATCACGCACTATTCCATTTAGTACACCTACAGTAACGCTGGCATGCTCGCAAAAACAGTAAAGATTGTGTCTAGATTCAGCATAAAAGAAAACACCCGGGGTGGGTTTGGCACAATATAGTAGCCACGTCAATGTGTTAACCAGCATTTGCGGTACTTAGAGCATGTTTCCGTACTTTTATGCATGATCATGACTCTTTTCAGATGAGCTCCATGATTTGAATCCCAAAACTAAGGCGGTTGTTGTGTGAAGGACGGACTACAAAACAACGAATCACCTTAAGTGTCCTGTTCGCAACTCATCAATCTGCATATTTTTTCGAAATTTCGTAGCAATTTGAGGTGCTCTGTGGTTTTTTCACCTTCACTTTGATTTTCACCTTCACCTTGATTTTTTCTCTTAATGATAAGTTACTCGCTGGCAAAACAGCTCGCTAGAGTTGAAACAAGAACGGGCGTTCTATAGTGTCTTCAAAGGCGGAGCATGCTATTTTGCCCTTATGAATAGGTGGTGTTGATGGCTTTCCTTCAACGTTTTTGACACTGGCTATCCCCGAGACCTTTCTCTTGAATAAGGAGCAGCAACGTAAAGGAATAGAAGCTAGATCCCTTATCATCCACCTACTCACGCTTCCCTCATCATTCATCATCTCTAAATTTATGATGGCGTCCCTAAGCTCCACTGGACGATAGCATGTTTAGTAACATGGATGATGAGCAAAAGGCAATGTTTCTATTACAGGTTCATTTAACAATGACGCGGCGTCGTCTTATACCCTACCAAAATACAGAGCAGAACCCGAAAGAGATGCTCATGCTCCGTTTCCTTTGCTACCATGCTGACACTATCTGAGTCACTTGCTTCTAAAGGTTAGCTTCTGCATCTTTCTTTCCTCATTTCCGTTTAATTTCTGTCCTGCGTTCTATATTTGCTTGTCTGAGTTGCACCTCCGTAAAAATGGTTCTTAGTCTACGGGTAGTACAGTTGAGTCACTCTATATGGTCATTTGTGTCACCGCACGCAATATCCGTGATTGCCGTCCCCATCCGTTTTCTAGCCTCAGGTGGGACCTCCGGGCTGTTATACCTGCGATGTCCATTCCCAGTCATAAGCATCTATGGAGCAGAAACTTATCGCGATTTGAGTCTTCACCTTAGTTTGAGCTATACCGAAAGGGGTCGGCAGAAATGACATTGTGTGCAGTGAAACATATGATAGTATGGAATTACTCAACTGTAACAGCACATCAGTCAGTACGCATTGCACATGATAAGGAAGGATACAATTGGAAGCAAAATATTTTCTCGAACAACCAGAACTAGGTGCTCATGGATTGAACGGTAGCGTGTCAATTTTACAAGTGACACAGTTCTTAGAATACTTCTTTGTTGACACATTTTCTAATGCTTTGTTACATTGAGAAATAGGTCCATAATTATAAGATGCGACGAGAAAAAAAAAAGATTTTTTTTCGCACTTGTCAGAAATTTTTTCCATTTCAATCTTTTGTATCATTAGCCAGCCTACGCATGCTTTTACCACGTCGAAATTTTGCGTTGAGAGTCCTTATACAAGATCCCGTATATATATATATACTATATATTAACGTACTTTTTCAAAGTATGGTGCATCCCGCAAAATTGTTCCCATTTGAACCATCAACGCGGCTGTCTTTTAATTATTCTAACATGTCATTTTTGAATAAAAGCCTCGAATTGAGTCAACGTGTTAAAACGATCGAAAGACAGCCACGTTGACGGTTCTCATGGGAACAATTCTGGGGATGCACTATATGTGAAGTCCATTGACAATCAACCCTTTATACTTCGAGAGAAATCACAGCTGACCACAGAAAAGATTCGCCGTCTTGTAAAGTATTTGACCCTCGGGCTTTTAACATGCATCGCGCATGTATATACTGGTTACTTTGCAAATCACATTGAAATAAATACTCTGGCAATATAATCGTAGATTTCTAGGCGTTAACAATTGGTTCCACAGTTCGCTACCGACGACCACTTGGTAAAATTTACTTGCGGCATGACCCCTTCGCAAAGACACGTACTCCTACAAGGATAAAAGAAAGAACAAAGGCCAAACAGTTGCTTCTGTCTGTTACATTCACGTATAACCATAAATACTATGTGACACATGAGTAGTGTTAGTGTTTGTATGGAGCTTAACATTGTCGTGTATAGTGCGTCTCTTTTTAGTATAAAATGTTCACTCATGGACTCCACTCCGATCTATAGCAAGGTGAATCCGTACGATTTCGGGTTCTCTTTCTCCTCGGCCCTTTATGCTCCACAATCATTCTAAGTACAAAATTGAGAATGAGTATAACCACAAAAACATGCGCCGGCTGCAAATGAATCAAAAGACGCAGAGCGCTAAACGCTCACTTGTCTAAACCTGTCATATTTGGGCGTAGAGAAAACATTGGACGTAGCGACACCATGGACTTTCACACGTCTACATGGGGAGCACACGATCTGTCGCCGAGCAGCGCACGATCTCGACAGATCGTGCGCTGCTACACAATCTTGTGGCAAGATCGTGTGCTTCATACATCTCGAGATCGTGTGCTCGCACCTGATCTTGGGCATATTTTCAACGGTAGCGAGCACACGATCTCACGATCGTGAGATTGATACATAGCGCCCTCGGTCTCCCAACTACCGCCACAGCTAAACAGCCCTTTTTTAATTGGAAAAAAAACTTTGTTCTTATTGCCACCCAATTCAACCGGCAATTCTGAAGAGGAAACTGTGCTTAGAAAACCACCAAGTTGAGGTCCCAAATTTGGTGATGTGCTGACCTCTGCTTTACATGAATTTTTCAAGTTTCCTGGTTATTCATATATCTAAAGCTCAATCTTTTTCTAAAACAACCTTCACTTTTTATAGGGGGCAGGAACTCAAACAACTATCATAGCCTCTGTCTCTTGACCGAAGGTATGCTGAGCGTCCGTTTTGGCCAAGTAGGCGTCATCTTACAAAAATGGCTTACACTTGTCTTGGCCTCTTAACTGCAAGGCCCCAAGACTAGTAGTGCAAACAATCTACATATTTTGTATTCATACATCAACGTACAAGTTATGCGAGGTGTCATTGCAAGTTTTTGTGCGAAACAGAAGCCGAGCTTTGAGGCACAGAATTGTGCTAAGTTTAGGGTAAGGAAATGCGACAGTAACGCCGGAAATTTCTGAGCGTCAAGCGAAAGTCTATCAAAAAAGCATAGTTCATTTCTCAAAGCGTTAGTAAAAGCTAATTTATGTGCCTGAACCATAGAAAACCGAGATTCTGAAACGCAGTGACTCCAAAAGCATTTTGGGTCAAGACGAGTAACGCTACTTTTCCGAAGTGAGCTGAGTACAGTGTCTAGCAAATATTTTACAAGGGATATTAGGTCTTAGAATCTTTCGAGATGAAACAGACATATTTGGAACCAGCTTCAGACGCGACTTCAAATACGCTGTTTCTAGCTGCGGCATGTCATTCTAAAGCGAGTTATCGATGTTCTTCTGTGCAAAAATTGCGTATTCTTCGACCTACTGGCACTCACCCAAGTGCTAGCTAACTGCATAAGATTCCTTGTCAATTACATAAAGCCAAATCTAGTATAATTTAGTATCCCAGCACCGTATTTACGCGGATTTCCATCTACAGGCAGCCCGACCATGTCGAAAAATATGGCAATTTTGCACAGAAAAAAGCCCATAACTTCCTTCAGAATAAGCGCCACAGCTAGAGCATTATATTTGAAATCAGCGTTCAAAGCTGATTCCAAATGTATATGTCTCATCTCGAAAACGATTCTAAGTTACCTGACATCCCTTATTACAAGGAAAGGATACTTGGTGACCCCGGCCATTTGGTATGCGATGTAAACCATAAGGTGCACCTCGAAACGCTGACGCTAAATCTGTGCTCGAAATCTGCGAAATGATCATATAAGGCAGTTATGAACTTTTTTCGTAAAAAAAAATGCGTACTTTTAGATAGTTAAAATCACCCAATTTGGTCTCTTTTATCGTTTGAAGCTATTGAGGAAAATCTTGAAAGTGTACGTTGTATTTATACCTATCTAAATCATATTCAGCATTTGAAGAGGATAGAAGACTTTTTATTAATGATTTTCACCCTCCGGAGTAGGGTGAAAAAAAATAATTATGACTCCATCCAGGTTCTCGTTTTGCAGATATGGAAAACAGTGATCGGACCAGCACTAAAAGGAGCATTTCTTGATGTACAAACCATTATGAATGGCCGGGCTCACCAAGTATCCTTCCCTGTTTAGATTTGCCACTGTGACAATACAAAGATATTTGACTCAAAGATTGCACTTATGATTGTAAAAAAAAGCTTTGTTTTTATGATTATGAACCGGCAAATTTCGCATTCGGCGCGAAAACAATTTTAAGATCGACAAGGATTTTCATCCCTGTGCCGCGTATATCCTTTCGCTATGCTCTCTCACGCGGTAGTAGCGAATTTTTGAGTTTCTTCCAAAAAATCGAAACTCTCGTATGCGTGACGTATAATATGAACCACACTTTAGAATAAGTATCGTCGATTCCCCACACTATGGCGGGCGGAGCTTTGCCGACGTTCGCCAACGTATGCGCGTGGCATTTTTTGGGAGCTAGAGATTACAAAAACCAATGCTCTAAAGTGGAGGTTCAACATGTTTTTTAACGTGTTCAAATGAATCGTATAATTATGAACCACACTTTAGAATAAGAATCATCGATTCCCTACAGTATAGCGGGCGGAGCTTTGCCGACGTTCGTCAACGTATGCGTGTGGCAGTTCTGCAGGGCCACGCCCGCAATACGCATGGGAAACGCCTATACCTTTTCTTAGAGTGAAAAAGAAAACCACTTCAGCATGTGTATAACGAGGTATCACAAAAATCAGATAACAAACTGCTGAGCTTTCGAAGTGGATATGTACTTGAACGACCATAGATGAATACGTTACGACTGAATGGTGATAATATAAAAGCAACATTGAAAACGTGGGTGTTATCAAAATGTCACTTCGATGCTGTGCTGCTTTGATTGTGAGCTATTTTCTTTTTTGCCCTGGGTCCATGCTAGATAACATTTTTAGTTCATGTCAATGCCGAATTTTTTCGTCGGAGGTAAATACTCGAGTTGTGACAATACCAATTTTCCTCGAGTTTGGGAGTCGAACTTCACAGAAGCATTTCATCAACATATGGCTAGACTTGGATGGGACGACCCTAAAAACCTGGTTAGTCGTGACTAGTTTCACCTGCCGCGTAGCAGCTCGCATCGTTATCCGATATTAGACTGTCGCTAAATAAAACCACAGTTTCAAGAATTTATTTTCTCATATCTTTTGGATTTGCGGGAGATTTGTTGAAGCTGTTCCGTACTGACCTTCTTTGACTAGTCACTGTGTTCTTCTTTTTCTAGTCCCCACCTCTCGACTATACCGATCTTCTTTTGAGTATAGAATAGAATGTTGTTTCCAATTCTAAAAGGCCCTCGCAATCAGAAAGAGCTTTATCGCGGGATTTTCGAGCTAGAAATTATTTCATGGATGACCTTCTTGCTGATTATCCTGATTGCGGAACTCATACGAGAAACAGAAGAAAGTGAGGAATATGTTAGCCTTAGCAACTGACTAATGTCTATCACCGAGATAAGAAAACTCTTATCAAAGTAGCGGAAAGAACATATTTTGTAAGTACTTTGCATAACAACGTTTGAGAAGCCTTGTTTACAGACTTACCGATGTTCTGATGCTCACTTGGCCCATAAGCTTGCCGCAGAGCTCCCTCTTCAGTGGGATCGTAAAGTATTCCGTTATGCGTATAGGTAAATCGACTTCTTTGGTTCAATGTAGTAACATGTATAATGCTAAAACATTCTAGCACAATACCTGATCCGAATGCGACGAACCCTGCAACAGAAGCTGTAGCTGAGTGGTCTAGTGGTTATGAAAATCGTTTGCTTCAGGTACATATGCACGTTTTGGCGGGAGATCTAAGCTTAACCAATTGTTTTTATATCCAGAATGGGTAATACCGATGAGTATCTTCTACGATACTAGTATCCTGTCTAATGTAAGGCAAATAGGCATTCTGCCAAATCTGCGCTGGCAGTATGCCTATTTAAGTGTAGTCAATTTTCATTATCGTTGTATTTTGCTTGGGAGACAGTTTAGCGGTGCTTCAGGTTGACTCCTTTGAAGTGATCTTTCGTACTAGAAATTCGTCACGGCAGTAGGGTGGCGGTCAAGATGAACGATAGCATGTGCCAGCCGCCAGCTGGGTACCGTACGCGGTGCGCTGATCGCTCCGCCCCCTTGTTAGTTAGCCAAGATAGCTGCGTTGCAGCTATTGGAAAACTCTCTATAGTCGTCCTCCCCCCACTAGACACCTAGTGGACGAATTCGAATTTGAACTAGAGCACGCAGGTTGCGGCAGAGCGCGGCACCTGCAGCTGTCACTTCAATCTCAAACGCTTTTTTGTGTTTTCCCGACGATACAACCTCATGTTCGAATGCTGACATTCTCTCAATCCGTACTGAAATTGTTGCTTTTGTTTGAGCAATGGATCGTGCTTCTATGCTCGTTTCTTTGACTACGATTCCAAGTTGAGTTTGGAAAAACGCCCAAGTTTGAAATTTGGTGGAATTGTTCTCGGTAGGTCTCGAAGTGGTGATTCATCAAATACTTCGTGTCAAAAACTCCCCATATGCATCGTTTTTCCAACCTTTCCTGAAAACAGAGTAAAGAAACGAGCATAGCATTACGAAACATCGCATAGCAAAAAAAGCCTTCAGTTTTGACCACAGTCATCATTAAAACAGAAAGAAATCACTATGCAACGACAGTGAAACACAAAAGAAAACTGTGTTAGTTTGAAATGCATTTGACGGTGCCGCGCTCTGCCGCAGCCGGCGTGCTCCAATTCAAATTCGATTTCGTCCACCAGGTGTCTAGTGGGGGGAGGACGACTATAATACTTCGTATTAGAGAGCTCTTTCTAACGTATTTCAATAATTTGTTCCTAGTAGGCTTGTCCAAAATGATTTTTCACTGCAGGTATGAGGAAATTGTTTCGAAAATTCTTGGAAAAGTGTGTTTCTCTATTCACATCTGTTACCATATTGAATATGCTTTGTTGAGCACTCTCAAGCTCAATTCAAAAAGAAGTCAGCTTATCGAGAAATGCTATTATTATTGCTGAAGTGACCAACACCATTATCTCTTTTATTGGAAAAATAGATTTTAAAACCTTAATCAAACAAAAATTCTTTTATTTTCTTCCAAAAACTGCTATCCTAAATATAAATCGATCTGTAACTCAATTAAAATTGCGTGTGAACTAGTCGTAAGATGTGAGGTCACTCAGACAATCATGCCTGAGGTGTTCTAGATTGATTTCACACTTCAAAGTTATATATACAGGAGTCACTCGGTCATTCATAGGTAAATCAGCAAATATCTCGAATTTCACGACCAACACATCAGCTGTTTATTGATTGCCAAAAAAAGAAACAAAAAATCAAAACAAGATTCTGTAAATAGTTAAGCTTCACCCCAGCTTGCAACAAGCTTATATCTCACTATCAAAAGTTATTTTTACTTGATGGTATCGTCCGAGAAACTCGTCCACCGCAGTAGGGCGGAGCTTCGAGCGAACACGTTATTGCCAGTTCATGACCCCGCGCGCCACTGGTACCAGCTATCGTTCATCTTGACATATACCCACGGGAGTACAGTGTTCTATCTCATATCCATAAGCTATAAGGAAAAACGCTTATTTTTTGAGAAAAATCGCATTAGTGCGTCGCTCACAAGAATTGCTAATATCTGACATGGTCATAGGCTGCGTGCCTACTCTTGATTAAAATAATCAAATTATTGAAGCTTCAGATTAGTGGTCATACAAATAGGCAAAATTTCGTCTACCTCTGTATGGCGAATTTTATAGGCGCGCCCGACATTTTAGAATCGTAAGTTGTAGGGGAACTGTATCAGAATCAAAGTATTGAAGTCTGAGGAGACAAACAGTGCTGCATTTCGTAGAATATCTCCTTTCCCTGATATTTTTCGGGAACGCAGAAAGAATAGAACATCACGTTATTCCAGATGTTTGTATGCGTATGACCATGTATTTGGGAGAAAACTGCGATTGCCGGGTCGAGCTTCTTTCTCGATTATCCTTTCTGTTGATATTAGCAAAGATTGTGGAAGTGCGTAAATGAGATTTCGTAATGTCCATCGCGCGTATGAGCAGAAAGAGGTTGAGAGAATAACTAAAGCCTAAACATTTATTTTGGCGTGATTTGTTTGAGGATCTTGATTCAAATCTTCGTATAACTCATGTATTACGTAAATCTCTCGTGATCATATTGCTTTGCTCATCGAATAGCATATCACATGCCCTTGTTGGGGTCGATCGATGATGTAAAAAGTAAGCCTCATTCACCTAGATAGAGTAGAAATTCAGCCTATGATAGCTCTTTGGCAGCTTTTCGTTCAACAGAAATGGAAAATCGAAGCGAAAGAGGAAAACTCTTCAAATTCTCTCTCAGTCTGATTCGCTATGAATGGAATTGCAATGAAAAAGTGGAATCATCATTGATACATGTTTTACTACCGACTTTTTAGTTGAGCTCTGAGTCGAAGTATCTCTGTGAAGACCCATGATTTTTGAGAAAAATAGGCTATCAAATTAAATCTTTGAGCTGGAAAACCTCAGAAAAAATACCTAGTAACCTCTTCGTGCTTTTAGCCTGTTATTGTTCCATAGTAGTGCATTTTCTAATCAGCAAGTAGCAGGGAAAATTTGTCAAATGACAAAATATAGCTATAGCTAGAACTAAAGCCACTCTTCCTCTTTTAGAAAAATGCCTGTCTTGATGGATTTGCTCAGCACTGACTTTGTTAGAAAAAGTATATGTAGAAACGCTCCTTAGCGGCGCTCTGTAGCACATATCTCGTTGATGGAAACGGAGAAAGAAAGTAACGATCCATCGATAACGTCGATTTTGTGCAAGCTCGCCATAAGTCTGAAAATGTTCCGTGGGATGGGAAACAGTTGAAAAAACAGTTTGCAATCTACCCTTTCTAAATGAACCGTATGGAGGTCCTTTGAGCTGAAATTCCTCAGATGCCTCACTGCATGATTAAGAGAGACAGCATGTTCTATTATGATTCAACAACAATCCAACATCTTAGAAATAATGTCATTTTTGACCCAACGCTTTGAAAGAGCTTCCAACCAAATTTCATTCAAACTGTGACTTTATATATCTTTACCCATACCAGTAATGGCTAGAATTGACAGGATGATAGTATTTGTGGCTCCTGACAAAATCGGCAAGTGGCAGAGAATGAAAGATCAGATTATGCAATTGTTGGCGAAGCTCGGCCTTTTAGAAAAAGGCTTATATGTTCTCAATCGGCTTCGAACGATGATTCCAAATATGCTAATTTTAGCTGCAGCGCATCAGTCAGAAGCGTGTTATCAACTTTTTTCTGCCTTTTGTATACTCATAGACTTGGTCGCATCACAGCATAATCATCTAATTGTAGCTGTTAATATAATTGCGTTAACTTTTTTTAATGGAAGAAGATTGGATATGATGTATTTTGATATATCAGCACCTTTTTCCTGCAGATTCTTACCTACGGGCATTCTATCCATGTTCAGTATTATGCCAGTTCCGACCAGCAAAAAGCCCAAAACTCGCTTCGGATGGTGCGCCGCAGCTGGGAAGTATATTTGGAATAAGCTTTGCAGCTGATTTAGAATATATACGTCCCTTGCCAAAAGGTCGGGAAGTCAGGTATAGTCGATTCGTTGACCGCACGGACTGGACATCACTGCGGAGCACGCACCGCGAGGTAAATGCTTGCCCTAGTGCAATTTGCCATTGTACAAGTCGTGCTCTTGCGACAATATACCGTGCTGCGCGTAGTCCGCAGCGTTTGAGCAGTCAGTGAGGTCAACGAATCGACGATAGCTTCGCTTATTATTGCTGTCAATCTAGGACGTTCAAATATTGAATGGGGTCATTAGAAATAATTATTCTTCTTGTTCATGAAAACATGCGTGCCCCGAAAGTTTTGGCGGTTTCTTTGATGAGTCACCAAAACTCTCTGACAGGGGAATGGTCAGAAGTCGAAGTGGCCAATCCATACAAGCTGCATACCATTCGATGCAGCATAAACTAGTGATTTCAAATCTGTCTTCCATATCTGCAGAGCGCCTTTGTAGGCAAAGTTATGAGCAGCTTCACTGCGAAAATACCGCATGCAAAAATTGCGAAGTTAGGCACATTATTGCTCTTTCAGCTCACCTCTAGGTACGGGTCATATGAAGTGACTTAGTTGCATGTAGTCCAACGCTGAGCCGAGAAGGACTTTGTACGGCCAAGTTTGCCCTTTACACGCACAATTTCTTAGCGAAATAATGACTTTTAACGGCTTATAATTTCGTCCACAAAAGCGCTCTGCAGATAAGGAAGACAGATTTAGAGTCAGCGTTTTATGCTGCATCTAGTGGTATGCAGCTTATATGGATTGGCCGCTTCGACTTCTGACCATTCCCTTGTGAGCCAACGTCGAGTAATGGCTTAGGTATCGCTCAAGGACTTCCTGTTTCTTGCAGCTGCTCGTGCTTTCTGATCCATGCAGTCTTTGAAATGTTATAGCCAAGGCCCCTTGAGCACTTTAGCGGTTAATGGTGACTCTGAATTTTCTCCATATTTCGAATAATTTCAATGTGTGCAAAAAGCATTGGTAAAGAATGCTAGAATAAAACTTTTGACTACTTGACACTTATATTACATTGCATACTTCAAGTTTTTGAAGTGTATAATAATTATTTGTGTACGAAAAACCCGCCTATCAAGCACGCTTAGCGCATAGGAGTACCGAAAATTTCGAAATGCTGATTCTTCAAGGCAAATCGGACTTGATTATCGTATGAATGATTCCTGACAACAAGTAAGTAACTCGCAGAAACTTCGAAAGCTTTCAATTACCACAACTGCGTGTCTCATGACTTTACCTATGAAGATATTCGATAAAATAATTTTTCAAACCACACAGCAGATCAAAAGCCTAGAAGTTTCCTATTTAGATCACATCTACTTCTTCCCGAGATTCTGGAATAAAATTTTTGAAAATTAGCCGAATTTTATGCAGTTAGAGATGGCGGATGAAGAATTTTGGCAATTGTCTATTATAGATGATTCGTAGAAGTAATCTTTAGAAGGAGAAGAAAAAGCTGCATCGAAAGCTGCATGAACGCGTTTGGGTCTTTGTTGTACCAATTTTTGTAGTCGTTTGAAAATAGCGACAAAACTTTTGAGACAACTTAATGTATCAATTCACATGATTTTCAGTGATATTGCGGATTCGCACCAGCATGTTTGGAACGATTTCACTCTCTTTTTCCAGGCATTGCAAGAAGCTACTGGGTACGGATGCGGCATTTCGGCAAACTCGAAATTGAATACTGAGTACTACAATCCCCAAAAGGAGCTAATGCTCGTATGTGTAATCCGATGAGTTGAATGGATACCAGCCATATGCATTGCTTTAATCCTTTGCTTACTTTGTTCACTTTGTTCTTTGCATCCTGTGCACTTCCTTCACTAAGAGTTTTGTATTTTTTTTTCGAGTTTATTCTAATAAAAGAGAAAATTATGTGTGTTATTTTTACTCCGCTTCGTTCCTTCCCTTAGACGGAGTTTGACTTGATTTCTAAGTTTTCCCCGGAACTCCTCAGTAAGGAAGGAGGACTTAGTATTGAGTAAAAAGTTGAAATCTATAAGTTTTTTTTAGAAATCTATAAATTTGGAATAATTAATTAATTGTTGTTAATGATTATTTATTAGGTTGAACCGAAAGTTCTGTCGCACCATTTTCAAAAAATCATAACTTCTTTCGGTCACGACGATTTTGCGCAATTTAAATTTTGTCTGAAAGCTTATAGCATGTAGTTTACAAAAGCTCCCTGGTGAGTTACCGACATGCTCAGATGGCACAGATAAAAATGAAAGAACGAGTTCATCCAAAATTCGGAATTTTCAAGCAAGAATTCTAAAAATTCAGAAAAATAAAATTAAAAAATAATAAAAAAATAAATAAATAATAAAAATAAAATTCAAAAAGCCATTATCCTAATTTGTCTCACATTTGATTACTAACTGAGACAAATTTGTGCTGATCGAGGTCTTCTTTCAGAAGTTAAGAATTTTTGAAAAAAAAATGCCAAAAAATCCATTTCTTAAGAATTCTTAGGAAATTGATTTTTCGGCATTATTTTTCAAAAAATCATAACTTTCAAAGAAGGGCTCGAACAGCACAAACTAGATTCAGATAGTAATCAAATATAAGAAAAATTAGGATAATGGCTTTGTTGGATTTTATCGCAGTTTCTGAATTTTTAGAATTCTTGCTTAAAAATTCCGAATTTTGGATGAACTCGTTCTTTCATTTTTATCTGTGCCATCTGAGCATGTCGGTAACTCACCAGGGAGCTTTTGTAAACTACATGCTATACGCTTTCAGACAAAATTTAAGTTGCGCAAAATCGTCGTGACCGAAAGAAGTTATGATTTTTTGAAAATGGTGCGACAGAACTTTCGGTTCAACCTAATATTTAGTTATTAATTATTAACTTATAATTTTGTAATTTATAATTTATTTTTTACATTATAAATTTGTAATTTGTAATTTATAATTTCTATAAATTTCAAATTCTAGTTTATATTGAAAAGGGGGGTCGAGAAGAAAATTCCAAGACCAGCATCCTTCAATTCATTCTCAACATCTTTGGGTAGAGTTGTAGTATGCAGGTACAAGCGGTCTTGATATTGAACGTGGACCCCGTAAGTGAGTTCCTTTCGTGCTCAGCTTCTTGTAACCTATCGCCACAAATCAGAGTTACGCCGAAGTCAAGTGCCACATGAGAAGTGGGCAGTCTCATACTGAACGTGCAAATAAGCAGATTTACAAGTGTAGCCTACCAAGCTGAAGTGGCAAAATTCCATACGATCACGGGTGGAATGGTGAATGATTTAATCTAGTCCTTCAAAAACATATCTGCGCAAACAAACAATTTCTACTTTCTCATTTCCATCAGGGAGATCCTGGTGTACCAATACTAGGGTAAAGTAACCGGAGTGGCGAGATTCGCAGTCGAGTATTGCCTGCCTTTTGAGTATCATAGTTTCAACGGGTTGAACCTTCGCGGCCGCCTCTCTTACCTCAATTCGGTTTCGCGTCCGGCGCAAATTGCTGTTCAGACGTAGCTATCTGCTCACCAATTCTCGCAAAATCTCGGTACCGCAGGCACCATATTGACAAATCTCCCCAATTTTACGATTTCTCGAAGCCGATGATTTCAATCATCTGTGATGGCGCACGACTATGCGGTACGAGCCTCTCGTAAGCGGTTTCTCAAAAGTAGCATTTTACTCGGATCGCGTCTTCAAAAATAGGTCATAAGCTCACATTCTATGTATATCAGAGATGAAGCTGTCTGCGGTGGGTGGCAGCCAACATGAACGATAGATTGTGCCAGCCATATGCGTTGCGTAGGTCAAATATTCTCTAGATTCTATATTTACGCTCTGATGATATTCAAAATTTTGGAAATAACGCTGGGAGCTCGAGAATCGAAATAAATGCTCTGACAAGGGAATGGACTTGTCAGTGCAGGACTTGGTCTGGCCAATTTAAACAAGCTGTATGTCATAGCACTCGTCTTCATCCTAAAGTATATCCGTTATCTGCTCAACGACTGTCTAAAAGAAGTTATGAGCGTTCGAAAGTGCGAATTTTTTTGAAGACACATATCAGGTTTGCTGGGTGTGCTTCGAACTCTAATTAGAGTACTCAGGTTTTCTTTCAGCGAACTTTATTCACAGGGACTCGGATAAAATCCCAAAAACTCCCAAATTTTCCGCAAACGCTCATAACCCCTTTCAGATTGTTAGGCTGATAATGGACATATAGATCAGCGTTTCAAGACAAGCGCGACGATGTTTGGATTGGCCAAACTAAGCTTTGACTATTCCCCTGTCAGCATAGACCAAGCTGCTGCAGAGTATCTAGCTATATGCTAGTTTTTGTCCGACTCATAGCTCAAATAAAAGGAAGGGGAATAGTTATTGGATAATGAATCGGATTTTTTACTAGATGGTAGAATTTGAAAGCGCAAAGATATAATGGCAGAATTATCCAGGAGCGACAAAAAGAGGAGAACAATTTGGTGGAACCAATTAGGTGCAACAACGATTTATTAATAAGACGCGGACTGGACAACCGGCGATAGCGACGATTCCAGAAGGCACCCAGGTCTATACAGGGGGATTGGGTGGGTAAAACCTGGACACCAGCTTCTATCAAAAATGTTATCATGTGTCGTCTCTTTGAGCAGCAATTAAGATGTTACTGACTATTTATTAGACCGGCCAACGCTTCGGCTTTTTCGCCTTCGTTAAAGCTTGGAAAGTCGATTGTATCAAGTGAAACATTCACTTAGCCGCCAACATCAACGCTCAAAATATCATTCAATCCGTAATAACCAGTACGAAAGCCAAGGTAGATTAACGGATTGCCAGAACTCATCTTACAAGGGAATGGTCAGAAATCGAAGTGGCCAATCCAAACAAGTTGCATACCCTTAGATGCAGCATAAAACGCTGACTTCGAAACTGTATTCCATATCTGCTTTGCGCCTATATAGGCAAGTTGTGGGACGCTAAAGGCCGTTAACTTGCTAAGAAGTCGTGCGAGCAAAGCGTAAATTTGGCAGTACGGAGCCATGATCGGCCCGATGCTGAGTCAAGACATGCACCTATGTTACTTTATATTTCTAAAGCCTAAGGGTGTTCTAAAAGTGCGCAATGTGCTCAATCTCTCAATATTTATGTACGATCTTTTCGCAATAAAAGTGCCCATAATCTCGTCCGCAAGGGCGCCAAGCAGATACGAAACAGATTCGAAATTAACATTGATACATGAATGCTGCACATAGTGTGCTTAGATTGGTCACATCGACTTCTGACCACCCTTGTTAGATGAAACAACGGGAGGTGCATTAACCACCGAATGTAGGATATGTACCTCTACCTGATTCCATGTATGAGAGATTTGCCAGAGATTCAATTCGTACACTATTTGGAGGTTCGTCCTATTGTCATCCTTTTCAAAGCTCTTATAACAATTCCACAATTCTCACAGTGTTACTGAGATTTTAATCTTTATATGAAAGGCAAAAGTTCATGTCTTCTCCTCTTTCTCAAAAAGTTAATTTCTCCGGATACATCAGAGAAATTGCTAAATTGATGATGAACTCGTATCAAAAGCATTATTTTTTTTGTAACGACAACAACAAGGAAAGAATGATCGTTTCAGTCGGCTATGGCGATCAAGACTTAGATAGTTGGGAAGCAACCACTCAGCACATGTTGCGAACATTTTACTAAAAAGAAGCGATTCAGCGTTTTTTACACAAGAACCAGTTCTAAGAGAATGAAATATATGGTATGACAGTTCTACGATGATAGCGGAAGTTTCTGAACTACAAACTCTTGCGCAATTATCGCACGCCTACTTTGCCAGAGCATTACCTCGTTTGCCTTGGAGACTTGCTTATCCTTCCTTAGTGTCGGCCACCCCGCATTATGTGCTCATCCCTTATAAGGGGAGAGCGAGTGGATTTCGCTCTTAATCGCTTCTGCATAGGTTTTTGTCTATATGGGGTTAAATCCATTCTACTTCATTTTTTCGATCGGCTCTATACTATACGAGAACTTCAAGCCTTTCGAACAACTTATCACGACGAACATACTGTGCATCAACCGCTCGCCGGATGGATTTCGCCGATCTATAATTCCTTCTTCAATCTTGATGTCATTTTTCTCAATTGTTCAAAAAATGCAGTAATATGACAAATTCTGTTTCGACTTGCAGCTCAAGCACACGGGCACAGCAATGTTTTCAACATAAATCCCAGTATACAACGAAGTAGATATACGACGTTCAATTTTCTAGGGTTACAGTTTGAATAGTTTTAGGCACAGTTCGTTTTTTCTTTCGAATTTTCAAGAAATTCTCAAACAAAAGAAGACTTTGTTGCCGAAGACTACATGTGTTGTGAACAAGAAATTTATATATCTAGAATAATGCTGATATAAAAAGTTTGCTTAACGAAGCTGCTAATGAAAGCAATGCAATACTGTGGAACTTATGCCTACTCATTTATTGTGATTACTAGCCACGATATCGCTTGTTTCCTAACAAATTTTCAAAAAATAATAAAAATTGGTCCAAAATGTTCTAAAACCATAATAGTGTAAACTGCTCCAAGTACAACATTGCATCCACTTCAAGCAAGCCCTCAAACGACTAACTGGAAAAGTGGACTTCAAGTGAGAGTTTCTCAATTTCACCAATTATTCGAAGAGGTCATGAGAAGCTTCGCACTGACGACGGAATGAATATTATTGGCAGGAAGTAATACAAAAAGAAGACATAACTACCAACTGTTAACGAAAACCGACAATTTTTGGAAGTTTTGAGTAATAGCTTCAGATGTCTTTAGCAACGAAAGGAAAAATCACCACTTGCTTAGAAAACTCTTGAAAAAATGTTTCATGTCTGTTCCACATCTCTCATTCGCATGTGGCGATTCATCTCTGAGCTTTGCACTTTTTTTTTGATTGATTAGTGAAAAACCATAAAAACCCGGGTATACCATATAAAATTACAACCTGTATTGCCCTTCATAGTTCATGGACTCAATCAAGATCTATGCACTTTCTACTTACATATACATAATCTACCTTTTTCATGTGTCAGCTTTGTCGTTATCTTGAGCATCTAAAATACGAAATCCTCTTTTATTACCTGACTTCAAAAAAAAACTCAAAAGTTTTCTACAAGCACTTGGATATGAGCCGCCACGCTTTCAATCAAGTCTTTCTTGTGCATGAAATATGCTTATATCTTTATCTGGATTTGTGCGCATAAATAGTAACCACTACTGAGACTTCCTTAAGGGTTCATAGTGAAATCTGATAGTATGTAAGTCGCGCCACTACTGCGAGAAACAACTCCCGGTAAATACACTACGGAAACGATAGCAGCCATTTGGTTCCTCCGAAGATCCGTCAAATAAATCATAACTTAATGCAGTATTAGTTTGTTAAGACAGCCAAGATTACTCATTGTTCAATCAATGTAATCAGTGTGCGAGTGTGTAGGTAAGTTGCTATAAATACTTTTTTAAATGTTTACAAAAGAAGAAGTATTCCCAACTTAGTAATGTCAAAAAAATAGTAAAATGTACTTAAAATGTACTGTACTCGTGCGGCATAGCGCAGTGCTTGTATCATACCAAGTCGATCTATAAAAATTTTTAAAAAGTTGTATAAGCAGGAATGATGCCTTATTTTCTTCATCTTGTCCAGATACTGGTAAAAAATGTTATAGTAGTGCTAGAAAGGGAGCGAGAAGTTGTGCTTCCGCTCTCGTCTCTACTCATCCACTTGGTCATTTTGATGAATTCATATCTTCGGCTGCTCTTGACTATTCCTAATTGGAGCTTTGGAGCAGTCATACTCATACCCTTTACGTTGTATTTATACCACGGCAAAGGTCAACCCGCTCGTAAATGTTCTAGCTCTGCTTTGCTTGAAAACATCCTCGAAAACAGTGTATTACTACTGATCACCTTCAGGCACATGGAAATTTTCTTCTTGCCTAAACTCTTCCCAGTTGGTGCACATATCGTTCTGTCTGTCGAACAAATAAAAAAAGAATCCTAGTCAAACGCATAACGTAATAAATTACTTTAAAACTGATGGTGGAAAATATAGCTATGACTACAGAAACATTTCGCTAAACTAGTAGACTTCTAGTCAGGATTCCGCCTACAAAGTGCATTTCTCTCCACCTTACCGTTTCTAATCCTTTAGGCGCCTGGGGTACACAAGCTTAAAAGTGCAGAGATTTCAAAATCGCAATCAATTTTATACTCTTTTATTTTATGTAAGTCAACGTCTCGTTAGTTTATCGATGATAAGCAACTCAAAGTCCAACTAAACTTAAGATATCTTTACTTTCGGTTGTAGGCTCTTTTTACTTAGTTGATTCTATTGTTCTCTATGAATTGACAATCTCCAAGTAGCAAGCGCAGCATGACATTTTCATTACTACAGTCAGCCACAAATAAAATTAGAAATTTTGCTTTGTGACTTCCCCTTTTCCTTTTTGAGCAAAATCGCATCTTCTTACTTAATTGTGCCGCTGGACTCCTCTAGAAAGCGTACCTCTGGAAGATGACCAACAATTCCACACGAATTCCGTTGCAGATAAAGTTTGGCCAAGGTCAGGGGTCTTTTCCAGAAGCTTTAAAAACTATCCTCATCGAATACTCACTTATGCGTTTGCCGTAATCTTTTTTTTTCTGGAAATTGTTCTAGTGGCGACTAAATCGCAGTGAATGAGATGCGCCAAAGTTGCAACCTTGAAGACACTATACAGGTTTGGGGGTATACCAGATTTTACGCAGTTCATAGGGACCTCTCTACTAGACCAATTCCCAAGCCTACTCGATAAGGCCTCTCCCATACAGGGTGTGTTTAATTTTTTACTACTCCGTACACAAGATGCTATGACAAATTTACACCGTCAAACGTGCCCTAGTCGTTGTCTTTGATTATAGAGTTCTAACGAAAAATATTATGAACAAGCCTGAAATATATTCGGCTTTGAAATATAATACAATATATATAATATTTGTCTCACTTACTTGTTGCACTTGTTAGTGCAACAATTAAGCGAAAGTAGGTCATCTCTTGAACCATCAAAAAATTGTTTGTGAAATTCTCCTCTCACCTGATCTGCCCCTTTCTTTATTAGCACATTTTGAACAGGTGATCGCCCGCCTGTCAATCAACCCCTATCAAAAAGTAGTCATATCTCTTCATACTTCAAGACGCTTCGCCAAACTGAGAAAAAGAAGAGGACACGTAACCGAGAGATGCGAGTGAAGGCCTGTCATGCTAGAGCGTACGGTGACGCTCGATTTTCAGTGCAGAGATTGATAAGGCCACATATCCGATTAGTCTCAATCGCTCGCACATCATCGAGTCGAGCTATTCGAGTTTTATTCCTAGCTAGAGCATTTGTGATAAACCTACATTCGCATTTCTCCAAAAGTCATACTGTTTTTCATAAATCTAGCATCAAATTTTTGGAAATTTTGAATTGGTTTTTTTGGTTTTATATAAAATGAAACGTTATGCTTTTTAAAGTGCTTGGATTGAAAGTACTTCACATAAAGCAACGTTTCAAGCTGATTAAGGAGAACAAACAAAGATTTTTTTGAATTTCGAAGCCGAGAGTGTAAATATTATCCAATACACTTATTTCGTTCAATATTTATTAGGTTGTAACAGAATTAATGCAGGTTTTGAATTCCAACCGCAATAAGTCATACACTTCTCTGCAAATTATCATTCGATAGAGCAAAGCAATCTCTATAAGGTGGCAGTCTTGCTCTAGCAACAACTCTGATCCACCACGAGTTTCGAGCCAAAAACTAAAAAGATTCAACTGTCCGAAAAATTGAGAAAAATCGTAACTCAGTTCATAAAAAAACTACAAAAATTCTAACTTGCTCACGTAAACGCTATTCACATAAGACATCTATACACGCCTTTGCCGTATTTTTTTCTCTGTTAGAAATCAAGAAAATGGAAATTTTCGTGCGTTTGCCAAAATGATGCTGTGCCGCTCCCACATAAGTAGTTGTATACTACAAACCTGTAGAAGTATAAACGTGGGTTTCCAGCTCTCTACAAGCTTTAGTTCTGGAAAAATATCGAATACAGTTTTCGCTAGTCATGTGGTCCAAGCTAAAATTCAAATTTTTCGAGAACTAAAGCTTGTAGAGAGCTGAAAATTTACGTTTGTACTTCTACAGCTTTGTAGTATACAACTACTTATGTGGGAACGGCACAGCATCACTTTGGCAGACGCACGAAAATTTCCGTTTTCTTGATTTCTAACAGATAAAAAATACGGCAAAGGCGTGTATAGATGTCTTGCGTGAATAGTGTTTACGTGAGCAAGTTAGAATTTTTGTAGTTTTTTTATGAACTGAGTTACGATTTTTCTCAATTTTTCGGACAGTTGAATCTTTTTAGTTTTTGGCTCGAAACTCGTGGTGGATCAGAGTTGTTGCTAGAGCAAGACTGCCACCTTATAGAGATTGCTTTGCTCTATCGAATGGTAATTTGCAGCCTACTTAGAAATGAGAAGTGTATGACTTTTTGCGGTTGGAATTCAAAACCTGCATTAATTCTGTTACAACCTAATACATTTTACTCTTTCTACTAAAATTTCCGTTTTGGTTCGATACCTCTACGGACAGTTGTGGTTTTCGGATTACGTTAATGACCTCTTTTGATCCAAATAGAAATTCTTATGCTCAAAATAAAGTGAATATTTACGTTATAAAAGGTGCATAATGAAATTTATAAGGTTTTCTTGGACATTTTTAGTAGATTTTTCCTTCTTTGGGTGGAAGTCTTTGCAAAAATTTGTTATGCTCGCTGCAGCTTTAGTGTCGTTTATCTAAGACCAAGATTCCTCTGTTCAATAATTTTCAACGCAATTTATAATGCATGGCTCTCGTTATAATGAGCTTGTTTCTAGAAATGACGACGATTCGCGAGAAATCTCATTTGTCTTCCAGCATTCGCATTTTTCTTCTAGGATCGGCAAACATGCCATTATTGAGACCAAAGTCGGCCCATATTTTTAGGCTTTTTGCAACATTTGGACTTTCATTTTCAGTCCTGAAGCTGAGCTGAGGTCTCGCTGGGCATTGGAAGACTAGAAATGTGGCATTCTTCTTGCTTGCAAACCTCAATTAGGATTCGATCTAGTCGCACTGTGTTTTGGAGCCCAAATTCCGTGCATCTTCTCACTTCTGTCAATAAACATCATCACATACGCTCCTGCCCAGCAAAACGCATCCGAATGAACTGGGTCATCTTATAGGAAGTTTTGCATTTTAAATGTTCCAAATCAGATAAGTCTCATGTATAGTCTAGAGCAATAAAGATTTGTTTCCTCGAAAGAAACTTGTGTAATTTTTCTTTTTTCCTGTTGATTTTGCTATGTAAAGTTTCGTTATCATCCTCCATTCTCTAGAGTTTGTGAGCAACAAATACATCTTATACAAATGAGTGAGACTTTTGAAGATAACGAATTCTCGCCAGAATGGTTTTACAAAGTTTGAATTTAAAAGGTTATCTCTATCTGGTAAAAGCACATGAGGGCCACAGGTGAAGCTTTCAGCAAAAGAGTAAAAAAGAAGAGGCATAGGATGCACTTGAATCCTGTTCATCTACTATAGGAGCTGTTCGTTTGTGACCATAATAGCGATTTACTAATCTTAGGCTAGTGCGTTCAAATTCAGGATAACCTAGATGAGGGCTCTTTTGCTGGATAGCCATTAAAAAATAACAAGCATCAGTTATTCCAATTTTTTCAACTGCGGGTTTGTATTGTTAGAATTGATTTAAAATATGCAGTTCAGTACCGTTCATTTGTTTTGATACGGAAGTAGCATGTATTTGAACTCAAATCTTTTCTTAATTTTCTACTTGTAAGTTTATATAGAAACCCACATTTAACAACATAATTTGTGTGCGCAGTGACCCTTTGGGCCATAAAACCGTGCAGAAAAATCTTTTATTTCTCTGGTTTATTCATATAGAGAGCAGAAAAATAAGCAAATGCCTAAGTCTTGATTATGCTCTCATTGGTTAATCTTCCTAACATTTCTTTTTTTTTTTGAGTTCGATGTTGTAATTCTTCGTTTGTAAAGGGCATGTACCATGGGACAGTACTAAGATTTTTCGGGAAGATATCCTTTTTATCATATTGTGCGGATTTCTTTTACGCTTCTTGCTGATTTATTGCTATAGAGCAGGCTATGGTGGCAAAATACCCCAAACCATATCCCTTTTTCTCAGTTCGCCCATCTTCCTTCAATGTGACTAGCGCAATGATAAGGAATGGTTTCGATTTGCACAATCAAAGTGGGGGGGGGGGCAACTAAGCTATTACCGTAGCACAGTTGCGGTCCCAGGATTTCGGACCGGGGGGTTGGAGGGCGGCAATTAAAAACGCAAAATAATAAAAAATCAAAATATGGCCACGACCTCAAAATTTTTTTTACAGGGCTTAGTTCAATTTTTGAAAAATTTTAAATGTTATTTATTATTAACAAATGTAAACAAGTCACTTGCACATTTTTATAGCCCATATAATCAACTTTCAAAAATTTCGCCACCCAGTTACGCCTCCCCCCCTCTGGCCACTACTGCCGTAGCTCACACATTAATATTCTGAAAGCTTGAGTATATTACAAACTTTCATGTTTAGGATACGTTACACAATGGAAACATTCCACAAATAAGCAGCGCAGATCGATTTCGCTCTGATGAGCCTGCAGAAAGTCAACCAGTTTGTTTGCTGACCATTAGCTCCGTAACGGGGATTGCTTTCGAAGATCATCCCATAAGCTGCCTGTTGACTAGTTTATGATCATACTCAGTATATGTATACAGATAACAGATAGTCTGTTCGTATATAACTGAACTCTTCCTTTTTTACTGTTTTATTACTCACTGCGCTGACTTGCAAAGTGGACTCGGTTCCACTTTGCTGAACGAAGTACATAATTAAGACTAGACCATTTTAGATTCGTGGAAACTTCCAGAAGGACTTTCTGTTTGTGCAAACAGTTCCACTATTGCCTTGGAAATGGGAGATTTCGCATCACTCGCTCAATTAGCGGATTTCAGTAAATGTTTTTTTTTCTGATTGTTTATGACATCATAGGTTCCACCCTAACATGCTAGTCTCACTTAACATTTCTTTGTTAACATTGCTAGGCTCTAAATAAATTCACATTGGGCGGATTGGAGAAGATTAGGGACATCCTGTACAGCTTTACGACCCTCTAATGCGATCGATTACGGTTCATATCTGACCTTGATTGCATGACAAAACTTGAATGAGTCGTAAAATTGCCACACTGTACAAAATATCCTTGATGTGTTTGATTTAATACGCCAAGTCAAACTTCTATTAACTAATGCTGTCCCTTCGTGATTCTATGTTCATAGCTTATGACTTCGCTCTCAATCTTCTCACTCAACATTCGCCTCGAAGAATGCAACAGTTCTCTGAGGCTTCCAGTTGAACAAAAATATTTTTTAAAAGCCCAAAGGGCATGACTTTGCATATATTGAATGATGCTACTGAATGATCAAACAGCAGTGTCACCATCAGTTGAGGAAGAAGATTTATGTGCTTGGTTTTTCCTTTTTTTTTGTCAAGCTTACTTTCCAGGCAATATTTTGATCTTGTTCTGAAATCTCATAGCCTTTTCCTTCTATATTGTTGTGTAAGTTTTTCTCATTATTGAAGTTTATAACCGGTTCCATGCAAAAGACCGTTTACATGTTTAAAAAATGTGTCGTTCAATTTTTTCTAGCAAATAATAGGATACTATTTATGAGCAATTGATGATAATTAATTGTCAAGATCATGTAATTCTTTATTTCTTCGTTTTAAGAAGTATAAAAATGCAACGTCGTAGTTCCGAAGACGAGCTCTCTCCATCCTGCAGAAATGGCAATGAACCATTTAATTCTTTCCTTCCCTACGGTTCACATTATCGCAGATTTCTTGTGTACCTGCTTACTTATTAGTAAAAGACACCAAGTTGCCTAGGAAAATTGAAAAGAGATCCATATAATCCGACGCTTCGTTTGACTGATTATAAATCTGCTTTCTTTTCCTACGGAGCACCTTTTCAATGAAGTTATAAGCGTTCAAAAGTCCAAATTCATCAAACGTGGCAGCTTTAGTTTTTCTCGGTTCACAGTTTTTTACTGTTTTTCCTTAGCTTTATGTGGCATAAAACTAGCGAAAATTTTTTAAAAAAACGTCTAAAAGTAGGCAATCAATTTTGTAACAAAGAAGAAAGAAGACAGCCAGTTAACCCGCATAGGTGTTTTTGTACAAATTTTAGCTAATTTTACTTGAGGCTTGACAAAAGACTTGACAGCCACTTGAGGTTCGACAAATAGATTTTCAAACGCTCATAACTTCTGTGGGAGAGTTACGCAGAAAAAAAGCAGATTTGGAACAGGGCTCGGCAAAGACGGCTTACAAGCGAGCTGGATTTCATTTTGGAACAAAAAGCGAAGGGGATACCGTTTTTGTGGCCGAAACACAACTTAGGTTACGTTTTTAGTCGACGTTTCGTTGTTTTAGGGATTTTTCTTGTTTAGGGCTTAGAGTCAAAGGTGACTTCGTAAAATTTTGCGAAAGTCAAAGAACTTCGTTTTCTGCATTTTCAGAAAGCCACCTTGTGCCAAGCCCTGATTTGAAATAAGCGTTCAAAGAGCGATTAGTGATATGCAACTCTTTTTGGTTTGTCAGGTAACTAGGTATCCTTTCCTCATTAGATTTGATTCACTGAATATCATGCATTAACCCAGGCTTCCTTTCAAGGATCAACAGATTTGGTAAATGGTACTTGGTAAATGCGCGATTAAATTATAATAGACAGCAAGTGGAGGAAATAGAACTCCTTGCTTCTGCGACGTTTCAGCGGTATTAAACTTCATTAACTCCTGGATCTGGATCGCCTCTGTGGCAGTTGGGCTAAACATACTCCGATTTTTTTTCGGGTTTAACACTCGTATTCTGGTTTAACACTCGTATCTTATATATAAAGTTGAATGTCTGTTTGTCTGTCTGTCTGTCTGTCTGTATGTCTGTCTGTATGTCTCTACGTATGTTCCGAATAGAAAATTCCATTTCTGAACCGATCCGGACCAAACTTGGCACACATACACTTCGGGCCCCGGCGGGTGTCATAGGCTACTTTTCGTCATCGATCGATATCGATTTTATTGATTTTTTACAAAATTTGTGCTACGGGGCTGGGAGTTGGTACAGGGGGGTAATCGAGCATGCTGATTACGAATAAAATAATGACAGGGCCGGACGGAGCCGGGTAAGCCATCTAGTTCTCTAATAAGTTTGTTCGAACAATTTATCGTGCCTCTTGTCGCAGTGTCGCTATTCTTATGACTTTAATTTCATATTAATCCGTCCAGAAGTAATTTCAGTACGAATATGGGTAAAACAGAGCAAAAATATGCGGGTGTACGGAACATGGTGTCCTTCTGGTTTGTTTGTTGATTATGTTTGAATCTTCAAATCAACAAAGTATTTATGTCCTTAAGGATATTCGGCATGTGCAACAACTTTGCCTACAGTGTTATGCTGGGCGCGGCGCAAGACATATTGAAAAGGAATTCAGACAGCTTCGAAGGAGGAAACAACACCACGGTTGACCATTGTGTGGTAAGTCATTAATTCATAACAAACAAATATTTTTGTTTTCAATTTTACTTCTGAACCTCTAGATTACTTCTTCCTTGTTTTATTGTAACCCCGAGAAAAGTACATGTGGATTCTGAGTAACTGACAGCTTTAAATTATCTTTTCAATTTGATTTAACCAATACCATAGCAATGAGTTATTACGAGTACCGGATTCCCTTATCTTACGAGTTTTATTACAAATTTTTCAAAAAATCTTATGTTAGAATTTAGAAGTTTCATCTTTACTAAGATTAGATACAAAACACGAGGAAAATTTTTGAATTATTAGCAAGTACTTTGATGAAGGGTTGAATAGTAAACGACTGTGAATGTCACAACAACGATAAGTCACTAAAAATATTGGAGTAGTTTTGCATTTTTGGACTATCAATTTTGTTAAAAATTGACAAATCATTTTTTGTGGGTCTGTGCATTTCTACTTTGTAGTGAATCATTCATGTCCTTTGACCACTTTGGTTACTTTCACCCGCTGAATTGCTCATGTGGTTTATCACAAAAAATTCTCGAGAAAACAAAGTCGTTGTACGAGTGAACGACAACATCTGTTGGTCGGACATGAAAATCGTTTGTAATGTTACAGTGTTTTCAAGATGAGCGATGTGTATTCAAACCGACAAGATTCGATTTTTAGAACAAGTTTTTTTTAATCTTGAACGCTCATTCAGCGAACAATTGTAACACACCAAGGTATCCTCATAAAAATTTGGGCGTAGGTCGCTTTTTGGTAGTGTTCGCGAACTACACCGGTCATAATTCCTTGTCACTTTGAATGAAGCTACGGACATTTATAGAGTTTTTGCTCGGAGGTCACAAAGAAGCAATAAATCAAAGATCACGCACCTTGTAAGTATTGAGAAGTTTTTTTTTCAGGATGAAATCGTAATTCGCGATTGTGCTCCAGCCTCTGCCGGTGTGGTTTTGATCTGCAATATAGTACCATGCCTTATTGTAAAATTGTTCTGCCCATTCTTCATGCATCACATTCCATATGCGTAAGTTTTTAATATCTTAAAAACCAAAAGCCGAAGTTTATTTTCCAATGTAAGCTTAGGAAACTTCCACATGAAATATTGAGATCGTACACTATTGCACAACAAGTCATAGATTGACATAGCAAAATTTATTCGGAAAAAGGCAAATTCATCAAATCCTTTTGGATCCAACACATCATTCATGGTAAAGTAAGATGTTGTAAGTGTGCGATTGCACAAAGAGTACACATTGTTTGTCAAACTCTAGTTAATACTTTTTATCCTATAAACAATTCGGTGTGTTTTCTTACCGAAAAATAGAATCTGTTCTTCAGTACTTCCGGCGAACTTGCACTCCGCCTAAAAATGTGACGTACGCGTATTTTTTCTTTTGTGAAATTGTACAACAGTTTTGATTGATAAATGACTTGAGTATACATACTACAAACATTGTGATTGATAGGCTATTAGTTCAAGGCAATCGCTCACAGGCGTGGTGTGACAATCACGTCATCGCAAAAGTGTTATACTGCAGCGAATCCGCTTTCTTGTCAATATTAAACAGGGGCTATGCTATTCGGTCGAGTAAGGAGAGACAGAGTTTTGACGTGGAAAAGTTCTCCAGGAAAGATTTGCGTGTATGAGGATAAGTTTTGGACGCAATGGTCAAACTCTAAAGAAGTTCAAAATTTGAGACTACGATCCCGCTCACAGATTATGCATAATTTCCATGAATGTCGCAGAGTTTTGGGAATTCCGCGACATTCACGGAATTGCATATTGTGTGCGATGTTGTAATTCGATATACTACTGTTTTAGGAAACTGCAAAATTTAGCTAAGAATGAGAAGCAAAAATTGTAAAATTTAAAGATTGCAAAGTTTCTCTACCGCCAGTTGAAAACTGTGAAATGTCTGCTCTAGTGACTGTTACAATTCTAAAGCAAGATGTCAGTAAATGAACTTTCATGAAGCATTTTCAACTCTACAGGAACCAAAGTCGATATTGATGAAAATTTGTTCAATACGTTGGATACATTTCAAAGACCAATATTGGTGGTGGGCACAACAGTCACAATTTTAGTTTTAATCTTGTCTCCGGCGAATGCAATCATGATACAATACAGTGGGATCTATGTCCTAGATTGAAGCACAGGTAGCGTGGATGGAAGCATAATCTCAGCAGCGTGTTATGAATCAAAATGGAAACACGCGAGAGTAGAACTCAAACCAGACTCACTGATCAAGCATTCAGAGTAACAAGTTGGTGCCACTTGAAGGACCGCATCATTTATTTAGATCTACCTCAGCGCATTTTCAAAAAGTTTTAGAGATGATTTTAGAGATTTTCAAAAATCACCACTAATCTAAACAATCCGAAACTCTTTTAGAGTGAGACATTTCTTGATCTGCATGGCGCAGATTGGATCTTTGGTGGTTACTGCATTTGCTGAATCAGTGCCAGCTGCCCTCTGCGGAGTTCTATTGGCATCTTTTTCGTGTGGTTTTGGTGAGACAACATATTTAGGGCTAGCTAGCCATTATTCCAAGTTAGTTAGACGATCAGACGCGGAACCACCAAAACTAAACCAAATTTTGCAGGAACACGATCTCAACCTGGTCTTCTGGATCTGGGATGGCTGGCGTTGCTGCCACATTCGCCTACGCAGCACTGACTGATGTAAATCTTCTCGCTTTGACTCCTTCGAAAGCTATGCTGATCATGCTTATCGTTCCAATTCTATTCACATTTTCGTAAGTTCGTCAACTCTCGCATTTTTGATCAGAAGTACCTACTTTTAGATACTACATGTTGCTGGTGCGGGCACCAACCATTCCAGAAATTAGTGCTTTCAAGCCCTCAACGTGGCTGGACTTCTCAGAACCTTACAAGTACGCTTTCAACTTGTTTTTTATTTTCTGGAATCTATCTCAGTTTTTCTAGACGAGATATCCAAGATTCAAGAGCATCCTCAGATCTTGAATCTAATGGACAAATAGCAAAACAAACTAAAATTGATGCACAAAACAGACCTTTCAACGAACAACTTGTGATCATAAGTGTGAGTGTTACTCCGCTTGCTAAAAGCGTCCGTATTGTGCTGCTCAAATTTCAGAATCTCATGAAATACATGGTTCCTTTTGGGACTGTTTACTTCATGCAATACTTCATCAAGCAAGGTTTGGTACGTCCTCGGCACTACTTGGCCTATTATTCTTTCAATATCCAGCAATTTATTCATCCCGTTGATAGTTTTCAACCCTGTTGAAGCGGTTAACAGATGATCAACAAACTCAGCGGTCCTCAAAGGACACTTACAAATTATAGCAATGAAGTTTTTTTAGGCTGAACTCGTGGTGTTCGACTGCTCCCACGGTTTTGGGACCAGCTTAGCCTCGCAATATCGATGGTATCAGGTGAGAGTGCATTCGACTTCTCAGCTTTTTGCTGCATCAAAAAAAATCACATATCATAAAAGTTCAGTATGAATATATGCAGTGGCAAATGGATTCGGCGTTACAGGGCGCAAGAATTTTGGAAGCATCCCAGAATTTTTTCTGAATAAGTGACATATATGTAGTAGGTGGGCGCTGACACCTTGTGAGTGGGAAAACTTGGAGGGAGGAAAGCCAAGATGAATGTTGGTTCGGCAAGAAAGTCCCCAGACATTGCGTTTCGATAAAGTTTTTGGGATTAAGTGGGGCATGCTGCACACATAGGATAGAGCGAAAACTTAAGTCTCTACAGGACTTAAATTAGCAGGAGCGTTGCCACTCCTTCTTATAACAATGCAGACGAAAATTCGGAAACCAAGTATTCGGCAAACCAAATCTTCGACTTTCACAAATGTCATGACATCTCACATTCTCAAAATTATGGCAACCACATACTTACGCATATGTACAGGCTGCATGGAATTTGAGCTTGAATAATGTAAAAAACAAGGTTGTTGAAAGTTGGCAAACTCCGTCCCATTGGTTCTGAAATGCTCTCATTTGCTCAGATATTACGCGCGCGAACAACTGCATTTTTTTCACTATTTTACATCTCCTTTACGGGAAAAAAGTGGATTTCCTCTAAAAATGTCCAAAACCGATACAGAATTTGCAGAAAGTTCCCATGCGCATTTTCACAAGTATGTCCTCACGTCAAAAAATAGTTTTTCTATCAAAAATCAACCGAAAATCAAGGGAAGCTGCCAAGTCAGAGGTGTATACGTTTATTCTTCATAGTGATGCTTCAGGTGTGCTATCATATTGGAGTGTTTATATCACGCTCATCTACTAATGTGGTAACACTGAATCTGCTTTGCCTCTCGCTTACTGCCATTATTCAGGTATTTTCCTTCTTTAAAAAGTTTATTGAATTTAGCCAATTTTTTGGTTCTAGACTTCTTTTGCCACCATATTCTTCTTCACTGCCATATATGCTTTCATTCCACACTTTGGTATCGTCGCCTTCATGATGTTCACAGTAGGTATCATCGGAGGAGCTAACTACGCCAACACATTCTACCACATCCACAGAAAGGTGAGCGAGATAAAATCATTTGATTTAGACTATCATCTTGTTTTGCAGGTGGATCCCACAATTCGCGAATTCGCCCTATCGACGGTTACTTTTGCCGACACCATCGGAATCCTTGCAGCAGCCCTCGCAGCTATACCAGTGCACAACTGGATTTGCGAGTTGCAATGGTTCGGCTGAAGAACTGCAGCTTATTTGAAAAATTACACGGTCTGTACCGTTACATTTTGCTGAACCGCAGCAGATATGGACTGTCCCACAATAGACGACTGCTGGATGAGTCTCAAGTACTGTAATCGACTCATACCAACACGAAAATGTTTCGTAACTGATTTCTATGTTCATACTGTTTCTTTGTTGGCCTTCCTTATTGACGCGAGTATTAAGTATCTCGTTTTTTTTTGCGAATTTTTTCCTCGCTTCTCCTATTCCTTTTCTTCCGAGTCTTGCGCAAGCAAGTCAAATAAAACCATTCCAATGCTTTGAACCTCTCTTGGATCTCTGGGACTTGCGTCTTTTGCAGAGACTATTAAACTATAAACATGCCATAGTGCATGAGATGTTTTCTGGACATTTAGGTACTCCTCCACTCACGTCTAAGCATTGGAAAGATGTAGAGGAAAACGTACTTGGCATTGAGGCGAGAATGATACAATCTTCTTTGTAAGTCTTAAATACATGACAGATGGTTTGCGGAGAGATGTAATATCGCCTAGGTGGTGTGGCGCCTATCGATGAAAAATCGAAAACTGTATTAAACAAACAATTTCACTGAACACATATTTCAATAACCTCTACAGCTTAGCCTTTGATACCCGGGGATGAGATAGACTTGTAGCTAACAAACCCTTACCAGCCATTTATACGTAGGCCTCGGGCAGAGTTCACGCGATTCCCGCTACAAGGCAAGTGTTACGAGTTCACTGTATCCCAATATTCTTGTATTTCGATTGTGATAGTTAGTCATGATAAGTCGTGAAAACTATCGCAACCGAAATGCAAGAAGATCGGCATACAATGATATCGTTATAGTTGTCTTGTCGCGGTCAATCACGACGATAAAATGCGAGAGCTCTGTTCGAGGCCTAAAACCGCGATAGGAGTAAATATGAGTGATTTTGTACTCTCTTACCTAATTGTCAAAGAAAGGGGACTAGGCACATTCAAAGCTATTGCGTTTCCAAAATTCTAGTGGCACTTTTTCTACAAACTCTTGCATTAAGTATCGGTCAGCTACACAGTTTCTACAACATGTTTGTGGTGACCCTAGTTCGATACAGGAAAACCTTAGTTCAAATGTTTTTCACTTTCACAAACAGCTAATTGGAAAACACACATGGAAGTTTTTGCTCAATCAGAGATATTTTATTCAAGAAACTACAGCGAGATTTGAAAGCGTTAACACCTTCACATCAAAGTTAAACCATTAAAAAAATGCCCACATAGGATTAACAAGCTGAGGTAGCAATCTTATCCTCAGTCTTGAAGTTGAACCAATTCTGAAAGGCTAGCGCAATGGAAATTGCGATAATGTAAACTGAGGTACTAAGAATGTCCGCATGACGTGCGCAAACCGCTATTGTCTAGCGGTATGCTTTGAGGTTAAGATACGCCTCCTACTATTCACCGCTTGCGAATTGCACATATGCATAGCCTTCGTACACGAGCGCGCAAAGTCTTACTTGCCCACATACACTCGATGGTCCAGAGATAGGGCATCAGAAGTGAAGGTTGTTTGAATATCTGACCCCCGTAAAAAGTGAAGGTCGTTTCTAGAAAATCAGGGAAGAAAAAAATAAAATTAGCAAAAGTGAAAAAAAAACTCTAAAAACCGGATAAAAATGCTGTAGTGAGTTCAAAATTTTTCATTTGGCGGCATTTAAAAACGTAGGTTTCCGCTCCACAACCAGGTACGGGGAAAACGGGGAAAAGCTAGTTTTTTCTTTGTGATTGTCTCAGAAACAAATATTTCGAAAATGGTGATAGTCAAGAAGAAAATAAATGAGAAAAGAATCAGCTATGCAAACATTTATGTTTCTTCCTTCGAAATGCACGTTAAAGACAATCCAGTTTTTGATACTTCCTTTAGAATTTTGCCCCTTCTCGTAATTTCTGTTCCTAGTGATTCAGCTTTGTTATGCTCATGATCCTAAGCAAAATGCCCTCAAGCCTGTAAGAAATGGTTGCTTACTAACTCCAATAAAGGGCCATGAACAAAGCGCGTTTTCGCAGCTAATTGCCTGTATCTCACCACGCTTGAAAAATTTAGCCCCGCAACGTTGTCTATATTGCGAACGGAAGCAAAATCTATCGAATGCAAAAACGATACAAAAAACGAAAACGAAAACCGCTTGAAAAGAACCTAACTGAAGAAAAACGTGAGATTTTCAAAAAAACCGTTTTTGCCAGATTTTTCTCTCAAATCAGAAATGGGGTTTGGCGACGTTGTCAGCATGAAAGTAGAGGTCAAGAGCTTCAATATGGCATGCAGTTTGCTAGAATTGAGTTCAGAACAACGAAGAAAAGGGTACCAGAGCCATATGCCCCACATCCGGCGTTTGAAATAGCAAGGTAGCACGCAACGCACGGAGACGCACAGGTGAGCAGAAGAGAAAGACCACAGACGGGGCATTTGTGTGGTCGTAGATCCCCGCGGGGTCTCAGCGAAACCCTGCAACGTTATATATCATTCTGATCACACGACGAGAATCACTGGCAATGTCGCAAGCCTTGAAAACCACTTGTTGACGAGACAAACCAGCATTTTCGTGTAAGATTCTCTGCGCAAGAGTTAAACGCAGTTTCTCGTCTTTATTGAACTCCAGTACAATACCGCTCTCAGAACGTGCAAAATTTCCGTGAATGTCGCGGAAACCCCGGAATTCCGCGAAGGACCGCGAAATTTTCGGAATTTCGCGACATTTCCGGAATTTCGCGACATTCCGGGAATGTCGCGGAATTTTCGGAATATCGCCATAACTTCCTTCGGAATGCATAAATTCTGGATCTGAAACAAGGGTTATACTCAGCTCATTAAGGCGAATCTTTTGGTACCTTGCCTTACCGTAATTGTCGGGGCACGATTGGTGCACGGTCTGAGATGAATTTTGCATTTTGGAAGAGGGGAGGTGAACACAATATTCGTGTCCTGTACTCGAATCCACCCCTTCTAGTAATAAATAGGTGCTTGAAGCTACTAAACAAACAGGAGAGAGGAAAAACAACATCGACGGCATCATCACGGCATGTTCGCATATTTTAGAACTAACCACACCCAATACTACTGATTACTCCCCCCCCCCCTAGAATTTCAGAAAAATTGCATAAGGATTCACTTGCTGCCGTACACCCACGTTCCCTCTCCCAAAATGCAAAATTCATCTCAGACCAATCAATCGCACCAATCGTGCCCCGACAATTACGGTAAGGCAAGGTACCAAAAGATTCGCCTTAATGAGCTGAGTATAACCCTTGTTTCAGATCCAGAATTTATGCATTCCGAAGGAAGTTATGGCGATATTCCGAAAATTCCGCGAAATTCCCGGAATGTCGCGAAATTCCGAAAATGTCGCGATATTCCGAAAATTTCGCGGTCCTTCGCGGAATTCCGGGGTTTCCGCGACATTCACGGAAATTTTGCACGTTCTGAGAGCGGTATTGTATTTCGAACTCACTTCTACTTTTCTTAAGCTATAGAAGGTTTATAAATCCTCAATGGAGAACGTGAGAATTCTTGAACAATCTCAATCAGTAATACTTGCAAGAGAGACTTGCTCGAATTGATATGGTATGCGTTGTGAATGGGGATTCGTTGCCGGGTTCATTTTAGGGCAACTTCTTGTAAAATGCTAGAATGTAGTCTTATTTTGGGAATTATGTCGAGTTTACCTAGTTAACCTGAGAATCGCGACAGGACAGTACTTTTTCCGTACCCTGTACAAACATTATGCTGGAGTCAAATTAAATTGATAAGTTTGCATCATAGGTGCGATAGTGTGAGAATTTTCTCGCCCCCTCTTCACCCCTAATCCGGGACCAAGGCGACCCCCTTCATCAAAAGCCGAGAAGATAATTAACAGTGAGGTAAGGTTAAGCAAAGGAATATTTGTACGTGAATTGTTTATGTACAGGAATGGAGGAGTCTGTTGAAAAAAGTGCTTGGTGACGGGTGTGAGCAGTGATTTCTGGACATTTTGGAGTTTTCAACATAAAAAAATTCATAACTTTTGCAGATGAACAGCTTTTACGACGAGATGGTCACCATTGGAACCGCCTCGTCCTCCGCTTTCAGAATATATATACTTTGCCTAAACTCCGTTAAAAAAAGTGCTTGGTGAAAAGTGTGGGTAGTGATTTCTGTATTTACGAGTTTTTGGGATAGAAAAATCCGTAACTTTTGAAGATGAATATCTTGTACGCCGCCGAGACGATCACCGTTGGAACCATCTTGTCCTCCGCTTTCAAAAATTATCTACCTTGCCTGGAGTTATTATAAAAAGTGCCTGGGTGAAGGGTGTCCTAGTGATTTCTGGAGATTTTCAAGTTTTTAACATTAAAAAATTGATGACTTTTGCAGATAAACATCTTGTACGCCATGATGGTTATCATTGGAACCGTCTCATCTTCCGCTTTCAGAAAATATATACTTTGCCTGGGATCCGTTAGGAAAAGTGCCGGGTGAAGGGTGGGTGAGACTTTTATAGTGGGAGTGCTCAAGTACAGGCTTTTTTACCATTGTAAAAAGACGTCTACTTGAGCACCCCAAATATGAAAGTCTCACCCCTTCACCCGGCACTTTTTCTAACGGACCCCCAGGCAAAGTATATATTTTCTGAATGCGGAGGATGAGGCGGTTCCAACGGTGACCATCTCGGCGTAAAAGATGTTCATCTGCAAGAGTTATAGATTTTTTATGTTAAAAACTCGAGAATATTTAGAAATCACTACCCACATTCTTCATCTTCACCAGGCACTTTTTCAACAGACTCTAGGCAAACTATACATTATCTAGAAGCGGAAGACAAGATGGTTTTAAAAACATTTCCCTTGCTGTCTTTTAAAAATATTCGTAAATGTTTAAAATTGTCTAACTCTTTCCGAAACAAATGTTCTCGCATGCACATCTTCTATGGTAATCTCAAAAACAGGCAGGGTGATGTAAAAAAGGAAAAGGAAAATGTTAGCATAATACAAGGTGCTGGGGTCAGAAATATAATTGTATGCTAATCCAGCAGCATATCGGTTCACATTTCAAAAAAAAGATAATCAGTGATGACAAGGAATTGAAAATTATAAACTTTGACTAGGAAAAATGATGAGAAAATACCTTGCCTCCCCCCCCCCCCCTTCCCGTCGACATTTTACTATTTCTCTACCAAGTAAAACACCCTTCACCCTGGAGGGGCTGCGACCACTGTGACCCCCTTCACCCTGGAGGAATCATTCTCACCTTATCGCACTGTGGTTTGCATTCAGTGAGTACAGTAG